ATAAGAGGGAACCTCATAATTTATTCTGTGGTGCTATTAAGACTCCCTCCCACCTCCCACTTTTAAATAAATGTTACTTGTTTCCTTGAAATAGAGTACAGTGGTTGAATTAGGTAATTCAGGGGTCAGCAACCTACAGCCTGCAAGCCAGATCCAGCCTGTTCAGGTCTTATCTAGTCAGCCAGCAGCATAGGAGATCAGCAGCACATAGGTTAGGCTGGTGTGGTCCTCTTTTCCATTCTGTGCTGTGCCACCAGTCCTCTCTGCAGCCTCTCTGTTGCGGATAGGAATCAGAGGTTGTGGTGGTGGCTTGTGGCAGCAGACAGCTTGAGGGTTGCTGTGGAGGGAGCAGCAGGCGGTATTGGCTGCAGCAGTGGCCAGGTCGCAGTCAGCAGCCTGCCACTCTTAAAAAGTCCTTGGCCCCTGGAGAAGTCCACTTTTGTTTTTTTGTTTTTTTATAACTTATGAGCTTCAGACTTTTTAACTGGTGTTTAAACTTCCAGCTTTCTGTTTCATGCGAGGGGATGGAGGGGGACGACATGTTAGCATTTAAATGAAATTGGAATGAAAAAGCAGTCCCTGCCCTAGAAGGAAATATGAGCTGGCTATCAGCAACTTGCACTCTTTGGAATTAAGGGAGCGAAGTCAGTTCCAAGAGCCTGTCACTGACAGTGCTCTGCCACCTCCTAGAAGGCAGATGGCTCAAGAATTGCATCGGAGCTTGACTGCTGAAGAAGAGCATGGAGATAAAGGATTTTCAACTGTTGGTTTCCACTCAAATTTGGCTTCAAGCTGAAATTCCAGCTAAGGAGAGACTTATGTGGAACTTCACACCCTCTGCGTGGCAACAACTGGCCTTGAGGCGGCAAGCTGTTAAGTTCTAGCATTCTGTTTAAAGAAGCAGTCCATCATTTAAACAAAAAAACTTGGTCTTGAGGGAGGGTGGTGGCAGTAGGCTATACAGTTCTCCCCTTTTACTGGGACTGCATCTGATGAGTGGAGGCTGGTCAGACATCAGCAGGGTGCTCTAAGGCAAGGCTTCTCAACCTTTTTGTACTGGAACTCATTTGCCAAGATTGATGGCTTGTCCTGACCAACACCCCCCTGGCCTTGCTGGTGCCTGACTCACAGTCCCCTGCCCCCCTGGGCCATGCTGGGACCCCTCACTCTTGACCCACAGTTCCCTGCACACCTCAGCCCGTCTAGAGGGGGCCCTAAGCTGCCCCTATCATGCTTGGCCAGAGTGTGAGCATCAAATGCTGCCCCTGTCCCACCCTCCAACCAGAGAGTGTGGGCCCCTGCATGTATGGGCACCAGCCCTGTGCCGCTGGCCCAGGTACACAGTTCCCCACTATGAAGTACCACCCCCAGCTCCCTTCCCTTGCTGAGGGGCCAGGCGCCCCCCTGGTCCCTCTGCCCTGCCACAGCCTGTGCCCAGCCACCTTCCCCAGTGTGAGCAGGCAACCATACAACCCTTTTCCCCCTGCCCCATCCCTTGGGACAGGCCCCTGGACCTCCAACCCCCACTCCCCACTTACCTACATCCAGTGGCTGGGGCTGCTCCCACAACCCGGCCTCACTGTATGCTGGCCATGTGTGTCTGTGGACACAGATGTACATGCACTCACTGCCTCCAATCGTCCCAAGCAGCCTCTTGCAGGCTGCTAGCCTGCAAGGGAAAACCCACACTTTTGCACATTTTTCTTGCATTTGCTCATGACCCTTTCAATATTCTTGCAACCCCCTGCTTGAGAAACACTGCTTTGAGGGGCATTTCCAGCAGGACACTAGCACTGGCTTGGAGAAGAAGCACAGCCCTAGGTAGGAATGTGTGAGGCTACTGGTAGCATTTCCTTAATTGGTCTGGCCAGTTTGAACAGAGAAACTTTTCTTTAGCTAGGTGATACTACTGAAGAAGAGAACTTTTCTGAAAATCAGCCCACTTTCCTCTTCTGCCATTATTTCATAGATTTTAGGGTCAAAAGGGACCTATTAAATCATTGAGTTCGACCCCCTACCCTGAGCGTGAAAGAGCGCTGGGGTCAGATGACCCTAGCCAGGTGTCTGTCCAATCTCCTTTTAAATACCTCCAAGGAAGCAGACAGCACCACATCTCTTGGAAGTGTATTCCACATTTTGGCAACCCTCACTGTAAATAATTTTTTCTTGATGTCTAGTCTAAATTTGCTGTCCTTCAGTTTGTGGCCATTGTTTCTAGTTACCCTGATGGATGCCTTGGTAAACATTGTATCCCCTGTTTTCTGCTGTGTCTCTTTTCCCCCCCTCCCATGAGTTTGTAGATGGCCACAAGATCACCTCTCAGCCTTCTCTTGTGCAGGCTGAAGTGGTTCAGGTCCCTCAATCCATCCTCATAGGGTTTTTTCTGTAGGCCTTTAAGCAGACGGGTGGCCCTTCCCTGAACCCTTTCCAGGGCAGCCTGGGCGGTGATGACAGTGGTGGAGATGCAGGACAGCCTGGTGCTGCAGCAAGAACTGCCTGGCAGCGGTGAGGGGGAGAGGCTGCTTTTCCCCCATACTGAGCAAGTTTCTGCCCAGAAGTCTGGAGCAGGCACAGGGCACGCCGGGTCAAGGCTGCGTGTGCAGATCCCCAATGGTACTGTGGGGCTGGGGGCAGTGGCGGTGGCAGCTGGAAGGAGCCACTGCCTCCTGGGCCGCCTAGAAAGCAGTTCAGCCGTGGAGCTGCCCAGCCCTGCTGTGTGCCCAGGGGGCAGCAGGATGTGCCATGGCAAGGTGGTGAGGAGCAGGCTTGGAGTGGGCTGGGCTTGCACAATTTCTGGTGGTAGGGAGGGCGACACAGGGTGTATGGGCTCTGGCTGTGTGGGGTGGGCCCACGTGGTGGGGCTCCCATGCACACTCCACCATACCCTCAACCCCCCCCCCCAAACCCCCCAGCCGCCCACTCCTCTGCACCAA